AGATGTGTATAAGAGACATGGGTATGGCTTTTTAGACACAACTCAGTATGACATTGAAACATGTCAAAGGTCAGAAACGGCATTTCCAGCCATTGTCTAGCAAATTTTAGACTAAATAGAAACATGGATGTTCCAAACAAATTGACACCAAAATTAACTCTCTCTTACTAGTGCTTGTGGAGATATGAGGACTATTTGACTACAGTATGACATTGAAAAGTGTCCAAAGTCAGAAACGGCATTTCAGGTTATTTTTTAGCAAAACGTTTAATTAGTGCAAATAGAAACATAGTGTTCCGAACAAATTGGAACCAAAAATTACTCTCTACCACCAGTGGTTGCGTAGATATATAACGGCCCAATGGAACATTTGATCCTGACCTGTTGACATTTCGCCAAATTTTGAAAATGTGTTAGGCCTACCAAGCAAAAATATTCTTGGACCACCTGAACCAATTTCTAAGGTCAAAGTCTCTTCTGGACCCCAAAGTGCGTACAAAACCTGGTTTCAGTTCGTTGCTTTACCTGAAAATTCACTGATTTTAAGTATATGTGATTGAGGAGTGCTTATAATATTCCCAAATGACATCATCTTATAATCGACAAAAATGTGAGTTACGTCGTTTTGCCTCGGGACTGCCGCCTTGCAATCTCGTCCTCTACAAACCGGCCCCATACAAACTCACCTTTTAACAAACTCGTCCCTTAACAAACTCGCCCTTACAAACTCGCCCCTTAAAAAAATTAGCCCCCCTGACTTTACACAGCCACCCTCTACAAACTCGCCCCCTAACAAACTCTCCCCATATAACAAATTCGCCCACTAACCCTCTCCCTCTAACTAACTTTCTGATTCAGTAGAAGTTAGTGCGATGTGGCGAAGCATTAATAATGATGAACATAAATTTATTCCCATGATATAAGATGCCATTATATAACTTAACAGACACAAATATAAAAAACGACAAAAACACATACAAAATACATATAAATTACTCTTGTATAATGTCTATATATTGTTTTTGTCGGTAAATTATTTTAATAAAGAATAAAAAAATCACATCAAGAACGTTAAAAAGTGCCATGATATGATATGACGTTCAAAAGCGGGAATCATCTATTTTAATAGTGGGGCTGGGCCCTAAGAAATTGTAAAAGCTATACCGTTAAATCTACTGCCCTTATACACCACAGAATGCACAATAATTAATAAATATCTTTTCTCACAATATTGAATTGGAGGGGGAGATGATAGGGAGTGGGCGCGAAGATGAAGTGGGGGGGGGGCGATGGAGAGGGGGTGTATAGCTCACCAAATAAGATGGTTTGAGGTGATTTTCATTGAGCGTAAGTTACATAGCGCACCGTCTTTCGGATGAGACGTTTAAGCCGTTGGTCCCGTGTGCATTTATGGTCATGTGCACGTTAAAGAACACAGTACACTCTTCGGAAAAGAGTAGGGGATTGTCTCCCGGTGTACTGTCAATCACCACCAGAAGGACTCCACTGGAAATAAGTCTTCTTCTAGACTTTCGTGGGCTATCCTTGGTGTTTACACCGAATAAATCCAATCCAATCGGTGTACAGTCATTGAAAGTTGACTTGCGGAACACAAATTTATTAAGCTACTGTATAACAAAATCAAACGGATATTTCGATAGCTCCTGCTATCTTCATCAACGTTAAAGTGAGAAAAATTGGGAGATATTACATATATAATTTAAAAATACATTACAATCTGTTCTGCTGGGGACGTACTACGGTACCGAGTATTAAAAAGGGTAAAAACTATTTTAAATTTGTC